CACATCGCTTTGTCAACCTAACCCAGGATGGTGTCATTAAGACCACTAGATGTGAGGACAATGGGATTAATGTATTAAGTGTATTCCATGTTTCAAGCAATGTCCAACAGGCTTTGCATGCATTTTCTTATTTAGGTCTACACCTAATAAGATCTGGGCCTCTCCCTACCCAATTCTGGAGTAGTCCATTCATTCAAACCATCATAGTCTGCAGGTCATAAATAAGGATTAAGAGGATTGCAATTTTAACTCTTTAAACTATATAAAAGGGAATCCAATTCATAATATAGAGCAACACTTCCCCGAAACAAACAACCAAACCACATTGACCCCCAACTCCAGCTCTCCCCTGCCCCGCAGCTACCATGGAGCCCTCCTTTAGAACCTCCCCTTCCAGTGTCCTCAGGTTCCTCCAGGAGCCCTGTAGGGATCCCAGAGCCCCACACATTGGATGCCAGAACGTAAGAAATCTATGAGCCCCACACTGGGCACCAGAATATAGGGAGCCAGCCCTACGTCACCTGTGGGTACCCTGAGTTTGGTGGTGACAAAGGAATGAGAAAAAGACAAATTAAGAGTGCAAAGAGTGGGACCATGGGGCCATCACTTTATTACTCTGGTGGAGGCAGTGAAGGCCCCGAGCTCTGATCATCCACACAATTTTTTTTTTATAATCACTTTGATCTACAGGGTAGGGCTGGAGTGATGGGTGAATCAGTGAGCCAGAACTGGTGTGTCATCCTAAGGATTGATAACAGTGGTGGTTTGGGAGTTTCACAAAACAAGAACACGTGGTTATCTTTAGCTTATTATCTATGTGCAGCTGGTGGAACGTGGACCTTACAAGGAGCCTACAAGTCTGGCTACGTCGTAGTGCTACGAAGGGGTTTTACATCCTTGAGCACCATATTTATGGTAACAGAGCCTAGGCCACCCTGCACCAGAACATGAGGCATGGAGAGGCCTTTTTCCTCAGAGGCCTCCTGTGGCCTTCTGCAGTTTGTTGTTCTTTGTTTATATGTTACTCATAACCAATTTATGTAGGCACTCTATAAGTCCTTTCTCTTCTGCTGTTTTTCCCAACAAGTCCCTGCCACATGGTCCTAGACTTTCATTTCTTTCTCTGCTACCTCCCACTTTTCTAGTCAAGTCCCTTTCTATTCATTCAGTTGATTCTACATCACAAAAACTGTAGAACCAGCTGTCAAAGACGGAATTCTCATTTGGATGAAGGAGGAAGAAAAATTGTACTGGCTGCCAACAAAGACATTGTCTTTGATGGGGTGGTTGGGGCTATGTCGAGTAGGAAAAGGACAGGCTGAGAACATTCACGGGGTAATGAAAGATATTATTATCTCTATTCCATAGTGAACAATCTGAAGTCCCAGTGAATTGTCTGAGGTCACAGACCCAACATATGACCAGAATTGTCTGAGCTCATAGATTCAACAAATGAGAAGGATTGTCTGAAGTCACAGACCCAGCAAGTGACAAGCATGATCTGAGGTCACAGACCCGACAAGTGACAAGAATGGTCTGAAGTCACAGACCCAACAAGTGACAAGAAGTAGAACCAAGATTTGTATGACAACAAAACCCACCATTATTTTTACCACAGGTCTTCTGTGGAAGATAAAATGAATCTGAGATGAGCACCATAAGAGCAATCAGATTCTCAAGACCTATCTCTCATTGCCTTTCAGTGAAACAAATGTATTACAGGAGGAAGATGTAACCAAAGGATGTCACAACTGACTCCCAGTGAACTCATGATCCATCCATTAACATCCTTTCAACCCTTGCCCAACACTTCCTAGGTCAACACTTTGTGATAATATATAGGTATGGTCTGGCTTTCCTTAATAAGTTCAAATTTATTCATTCAACAAATACTAGCTAAATGCCCACCATGTAAGAAGTCATGTGAAGAGGTGGACAGGCACAGTTTTCATAGCATTTGACTCTACTCTTGGAGACTTGTGTCCTCCTGCCTTCTCATTTTAATACTCAAGGTTATCTTGAACTGTCCTCAATTTTCATACTTAATCATTGTTTTTCACACTTAATCATTGTGTTTCACACTTAATCAATCACTGTGTTCTAAAGAAATTGTTAAATTGAACAGATCCAGAGCGACGTCCTCCTATGATGAATCACATAGGAAAATTATATTTATTGGGCCTCTGCAGAGCTCAATTTCACTATCACTGTCATAAATACTTTTTGTGCATCTATTGAGATAAAATTACAAACAAACAAAGACATACTTCTGGCCTCATGGAGCTTAAAGTCTATTAGAGGAGATATATACTAATCAAACATTTGTGCAAGGTATGTAATATTCTGTCCAATGACGCTGAAATTTCTACCATGCTCTGAGATCATAGACAAAGGGGATCTGACCCGTGATGGAGGTAAAAATAGAATCTTTCTTTTTTTCTTTTTTCTTTCTTTCTTTCTTTCTTTTTTTTTTTTTTTTTGATGGAGTCTCACTCTGTTGCCAGGCCAGAGTGCAGTGGTGTGATCTTGGCTCGCTGCAACCTCTGCCTCCTGGGTTCAAGTGATTCTTCTGACTCAGCCTCCTGAGCAGCTGGGACTACAGGTGTGCACCACCATGCTCAGCTAAATTTTGTATTTTTAGTACAGACAAGGTTTCACCATATTGGCCAGGATAGTCTCAATCTCTTTACCTCGTGATCCACTCACCTCAGCCTCACAAAGTGCTAGGCTTACAGGCATGATTATCACGCCTGGCCCCAGAGATTTTTTTAAAAGAATCAATGCTTGAGCCAATACTGGAAGGCAGTGAGGGGAAGAAAAGATTATCTCACACAGAGAGAATAAAGAGCCCATGGTGGGAGCGGGCAGAGCAGACCAAGCTGCTGAAAGAACAGTGATGTGCTGAAGTGGAGAGCAAAAGGGTGAATAAGGGACAGGTCTGGGAGGCAGGTGCCTGGGTCAAGCCATATGAAGCCTGCAAGTGGGTTAAATATGCTAGTCTTTATCCATGAGTAATGTGAAGGCTTTTACACCAATGTATGGCAACATCAGATCTGCATCTTTAAAGGTTGCTTGGGCTTCTACTTTGAGAACACTTTGCAGAGACACAAGAGTAAAAGTGGGAGACAAGTTAGGAGATTATTGCAGAATTTCACAGGAGTTGGAAAGGTGGAAAGGGCAACACGCTTGATATTTTAAAACATGGCTCCAGTTCTGAGGTCTTCCATTCACATGGCAAGGAAGCCTGAGCTGTGAAGTTATCTTTGAGTTTCCCCGGCTACAAAACAAGGGGAGATACTTTTATCTCCTTCCCAGGGTGCTTTGGAAGATCAAATTAAATAATGGAAAGAAAAACATAAAATGCATAATAGAACCTTTATAGCAAGAAAACCAATTAAAATATATTTAATGATTACCTACGGCTATGAGCCTGAGGATTCAAATCAATAAGTTCACCCAAAAGAAATAAAGCCTGAATAAAGTAATGTAATTTTAGGTTGATTAGATAAAGAACATGTGGTCTATATACACCACGGAATACAATACAGCCATAAAAAATGAAATCATGTCCTTTGCAGCAACATGGATGTAGTTGGAGGCCATTATTCTTTTTTTTTTTTTTTAATTTTTTATTGGATTTTAGGTTTTAGGGTACATGAGCAGAGCATGCAAGACAGTTGCGTAGGTACACACATGGCAGTGTGCTTTGCTTTCCTTTTCCCCTTCACCCACGTTTGGCATTTCTCCCCAGGCTATCCCTCCCCACCTCCCCCTCCCACTGGCCCTCCCCTTTTCCCCTCTATAGACCCCAGTGTTTAGTACTTCCCTTTCTGTGTCCATGAGTTCTCATTTTTCATCACCTGCCTATGAGTGAGAATATGCGGTGTTTCAATTTCTGTTCTTGTGTCAGTTTGCTGAGGATGATGTTTGGAGGCCATTATTCTAAGCGAATTAATGCTGAAACAGAAAACCAAGTATCACATGTTCTCACTAAAAAATGGAAGCTAAACAGTAGATACTCATGAACATAAAGATGGGAACAGAAGACACTGGTGACTCCAAATGCAGGGAGGAAAGTGGACAAGGGCTGAAAAATTTCCCACAGAGTACCGTGCTCACTATCTGGGTAACTGAATCAATAGAAACCCAAACGCCAGTATCATGCAGTGTGCCCTTATGATGAACCTGCACACGTACCCCCGAATCTAAAATAAAAATAAATAAAATGAAATGAAATGAAATGAAAATCAGTATGCATTCTTGGAGCTACCTGAGAGAGAAATTTTGCAAGAAAATTGAACAAGGGAGAGAAAAAGGGACCGATGGAGGAGAAAGAGAAAAAATGACATGGAAGAAAAAAGAGGGAAAGAAAAAGAAAGGGAGGGAGAGAAAGGATACTAGGACAGTTTGCATTTAGCTGTTTAAAACAGAGAATAGGAAAAAAGAAAAAGACTCGTGTAAACACAGAGAAAATAGACAAAGACCATTTCTATCCTCGGAATGCTCACTCTGCCTCCAGCCTCATCATCTCATGATATATTTATAAATCAGAAGGCCTCCTTTTTAAATAAGCCATGATGCTATATATATATATATATATATTCCCTTTTTACAGAGTTTTGTTCATTTTCTGCATTTTCCCCATGCGAACCTTTGCATAATTACCCAATTGATAACATTCTCCTGATCCTCCATAAAATAAATAAACAAAGCCAAGAAAAGAAAGGCTTATCCTGAATTTTTCAGAAATGCTGATTCCAGAAAGAACAAAAATGTTTTTTTAATTTTGTTTCTGTTCTGCAGTTGTATAGCAAGAACTTAGCTTTTTAAGTGATGAATAAGTTAATCCTATTATTCATCTTAAAAAATTCTACTGAAACCTTTTTAAGTTTTTATGACAGAGAAGCTTGCATTCACAATGCACTTGGAATTTAGAGCATAAATTTCCTACAAATATTCAAAGAATGTTTTCAGATTACTGCAATTCTGCTGAATATTACCTTTGATATCTCTCGGCCAGCTCTCTCCCATCTTTTTTCTCTTGTGGGCCCTTTCCCACTGATGGCTTTGTTCCTAGAACCTTCACTCCATACAGCGTGTCAAATGCTTCCCAGAGCTTGGAGAGATGGGCTTCTGGCTTCCTACACCAAGCCCAGCCATGCCAACTGTACAGAAATCCAGGGCAATGGGGTGAACGCCACCTGCCTGTTGGATTACTTTCCTTTTCTGCCTGTGCTAGCTTCTCCCAAGCTGTGACAGTCTCTCTTGCAGAGTGACCGAGTCACCTTGAAGCGGAAACACATCCGCGTGTGAGTTCTGCAACAATGTGATTGAAATTATCCTGCTAGCCTAGCAGATAATTATCTTAATAAGAAATTTCCTTTGAAAACACAGATTCTACAAACTGCCTCTTGATCTCCCAACCTGAACCAAGCAAACAGCTCCATCTCAAAATATGATCTTAAGATGAAATTAGTATTGATTATGAGGGATAAAAAGTGCTGCATGGAAGACAGTAAAAAATTATTTCAGATTAGAGGGTAGGGAAATAAAATGAGAATAAAAATGAAGGATTAGCAAAGCACTATAAAATGACAATAAAGTCCAGTGTTGTTAAATCACTAAGTTAATTAATAGAAGATTCTGGAAAAATATATTAAGGTACCACTAAGTTATGTGACCTGATTTTAAAAGTGTTCAACAGATTAAACAATTGAGAAAGAGAGGGGGACATGAGGGCAGAAGGCTGGATGCTAAACAGGACTGACCTACATTAATTTTACTTTTGCCCTCATTCATTCGTCTCACTTTGTATGAGCCCAGTGTGTGCAAATATGCATTAAGTGATATAGAAGCAGAGGACAGATCACCGTCCACTAGGCACTTATGAACTATTCAGAGGAGATCGCTACAGGCACGATGGTTCAGCCAAGAAAACATTACAAGAACTGTGCCACCCCTCCGCAAAAAATAAAAAATAAAGAAACAGTGGAAAGTTGTACTAAAGGAATCAGGAAATTACCAGCTCGACCCCCCAACAGGTGGGGAATCCCTGCAATGTATTTTGCATTTGCTCTCTGGATGGAATTACAGAGCTGGGACCTGCTCCCTCATGGAGGTAGGCTCAACACAGAAAAAGAACATAATTCCTGTCGACAGTCTCCCAGACAGAACAGATGCCTTGGGCAGGACTCCAGAATGTAGAAAGTAGGTGATGGGTGTTGAATTGACATCCAGAAACAGGGCCGAGTCTAGAAGCAAAAACAGAGAAATTACTCCCCACATGTCATGGACTCTTCATGGAAAGGGATCTGTGAACTTGAGAGGACAGGCCGTAGATTGCATAATCCCTTAGATAAATGTTATGTTTATTAGAGTAACAGAGCAAGAGACCTGGAGGCAAACCATTTTCTTTCATAACCTCACTCCACCACTAATTAGCTGAATAATGTTGGAAAAGTTATTTACTCTTCCTCTACCTTCCTTCATTACTCTTAAGATGGGAGTCATCATAGGACTTATCTTATGAGTTGTTATGAAGACTAAGTGATTGCATGTAATGCACTCAAAATAATTCCCTGCATCGAGTAAACACCCAATAATTATTTACTATAAAATAATTGTCATAATAAAACCTAAATTTTGACCAAGCATGGTGGCTCACACCCGTAATCCCAGCACATTGGGAGGCCAAGCTGGATTGCTTGAGCTCAGGAGTTCAAGACCAGCCTGGGAAACATAGTGAAACCCTGTCTCTACTAAAAACACAGAACGATTAGCCAGGTGTTGTGGCACGTGCCTGTCATCCCAGCTACTTGAGAGGCTGAGGTAGGACGATCACTTGAGCCCGGGTGGCAGAGGTTGCAGTGAGCCAAGATTGCGCCATTGCACTCCAGCCTAGGTGAGAGAGAGAGACCCTATCTCAAAAACAAAAGAAACAACAACAAAAATCAGAATCTCAACACAGTTGTATTTGAGTTACTGAGCATTCATAACATTTCAAAATAACAGGTGAGAACATTGGACCTTGTCCTAGGGGTGAATTGAGAACACGTAAGAGAAAATGTCTGAGGAAAAAGTGATTTGGCCAAGACAGTAGAAGTCAGAAAGAAACTCACAAAAAAGGGTGTCTAGAGGCAGAAGCTGAGCCCTAGGTCTCAGGACCCCTATCCTTCTGTGAGATTCTCCTTTCAAAGACACTCTTGAGGAGTCTGGCTCTTATTTTGATTATGGAATTTGATTATGCCACCAAAAGAAATTTGAAAAGCATGTCATTTCCTTGCATAAAATCCTACAGTAATTTCCAACTAGAATAAATTACATACTCCTAATCTTTCAAACTAATTCCCAGTGAGGTTCCTGGGTATATTAGCGAGGACCTTGGCTTTCAGGTCATTTCATTCATTGGCCAAGCCTATATGAGGTAAGAATGGATGCTGTGCAAAAACGGCACAGACACACACATGTGCACACACACATCCACCACCACCGCCGCCGCCAATGTCATGCATTGAAAATGTGTAAAAGAGTTCTTGAGGAAAAAAACCAATGAGATAAGAGTAGCAAAGTGTATACAGCCCTGGTTCTTATCCACAAGGAGCTCTGTCCAGACCCAACATGGCTGCATGGAGTCCATGTCTACCACCATGGAAAGGACTCCAGGAGAGAGGCCCTGTTACTTTGCATAAATGTGTATTGCATTGCACATTTACAGGAGAGTGGAGAAGTTGGCAGGGAACATCTCGCTGACAATATGGCACTGGGAACCTCCTTTTTTCAAGAAATGGCACTATTAGAAAGACTGGGACTTAGTTTTGCTGTCCACCTGATCCAAGGAGTTCACCTTGAACTGCTGAGTCAGCATCTGACTGAGCTGTCCAAATCGGGAGGGAATTAATGACTCTCTGATGCTGTGAGCATCTGAATGCCGTAGACTCCATGTGTTCTGAGCCATATACGCTTGAGGCTTCCCCTTAGCAGACACCTCCACTTCATTACCTTCCTTGCCACCCATGGGTTAATAGCTCCTAAATCCAAGTCTCCGGCCTTGATGTCCTACCGGAACTTCAGATGGGTAACGTTTCTGGCTTCTCTCATAATACCTCATACTCAGCATATCTAAAAATGGGTGCCCCAATTTACCCAAAACCTTCTTCTCCCTTGCCTAATTTCCCTAATATAATTGATTGTTTCAGCCTTTGCTGTGATGGACCCACCATCTAATCCAGAAGCCTGGCAGTCATCTTTGTCTTCTCCCTCTCACACGCTTTCATAGTCATGCATCCCCAACTCACACCCATAATCCCAGCACATTGGGAGGCCGAGGCAGATTGTTTGAGCTCAGGAGTTCAAGAGCAGTCTGCGCAACATGGTGAAACCCTGTTTCTACCAAAAATACAAAAAAATTAGCCAGGTGTTGTGGCACCTGCTAGAAAGGAAAATTGTCCTTTCTAGTTTTTTAATCTTTCTCATCATCTCCATACCTGCACCCAAGGTTGCAGCTCAGATATTCATCATCTCTTGTCTGTTTCGTTCCACAGACTTTCTGTCTTCAAGCCTTCTACCATTGTTAGATACCTGTACTCCAAATCTGAACATGTCACTTTACTCTCTAGTTTAAAATTTATTAAAGGTCTTCATTTATTATATTTTTTAAAATGATCTGCAAGGATTTCCATGAACCTGTTTCTCATGATTCCTCATTCTTTGTCATGTCATACTAAAATACCTTCAACCGGTGAAGGCAATACACTCTTTCTTGCTCCTGAGGTTTAGCATAGTGTTTTCTTTTCAGGGCATGTTAGGGTTTGCTCCTTTTTACCACCTATCCCTCTTCTCACTAGTCTCAATTCACCTTTTATATTTCAGAAACAAAAATTTTGTGATCATTTATCAAGATACCAAAATACAGGTCCATTTGTGCCCAAAGAAAATCTAGAAAACCTGAAAATGTCCTTTAATCTTTGCCAAGCCTGAATCGGCCCTGTTCCGTGGCTGGGGTGTTCTATTACAGACATCATCCGTATCGGGGTAACAATATCAGCTTTATAGTCACTGGTCTTACTCATAACAGGTCCTGCTTTCTTCTGACCAAGAGACCTCCACCTCCATAACCTTACCTCAGCATAGCATCTTTGAGCACCCACATTTATTTCATAGTTTTGATAGAAATTCATCTTTACCTTGCTACTTCAATTGCCCTTGTTCCTTCCTCATCATCCTAGGCCAAGAGTCAGAAAGAAAGGACTAATCACCTCCAAGAACCCTCTAGTGTTCTTCCACCACCAACAAGTTCATCTCACCATTAATTTGGAAAAACGCTAGAGCTGCTTATGCAAGATGAACCTGGTGGTGGTAGAAGAACACGTGGTGTGGTAGATTGAGAGGCCTGGACGTGTTCTTCCACCACCAAGTTTACCTTGCAGAAGAGGCTTCTTGGGGGTAATCTTATGTGAGATGAACTTGGTGGTGATAGAGGGACACTAGAGTTTCTTACGTGAGATGAACTTGGTGGTGATAGAGGGACACTTGGTGGTGGTGGAAGAACACTAGAACTTCTTATACCACCACTTGGTGGTGGTAGGAGGACACTTCCGGGCCTCTCAATAAGAGAACAGAGTTTTGCATTAAGTCCCCTCCTCCATTTCTTCACCCCTGGGCCAGCCATGAGCAAACTCTTTTTAGAAACATGAAATCTCACAGGCTCCAGATACCAAAGGATTGTACTGTACTCAAGTCAAAAAGCCTCAGTTGCCAAGGCAAATAAAGGACAAAGTTTTATTCTTTATATAATGGTTTCTTTTTATCCAAATTTCCAGAAATAAGACTGACTCTGTTTCCATCACCAAGAACTGCCTCACTGTCAACTTTTATTTTTGTTAATTTCTACTCTGAACCTCCAAAGTCAGGTATTTGAGAATCTTCTTCTATGTCTGCGCACCACGAACACACTAGGCACTCCACGTCCAGGACCCTGTTCTGCCTGGGGTGTGATCTGCCCAGTGGAAGATGAAATAGGCCCAGCCTCTCAGGAAAAAGTGTGTTGGCAGGTAAGCTCCTGCAGCAAGAAATATCTATCTTAGCCCAGATATTATGGCAATATGGGTAATACTCAAGAGAGATCCCATCTATGCCAGGTCTAAGTGGGTTAAACCATGGTAAGGATTATTGCCAATTCCTTGGTGAAAAGAAGCTAGATGTGTATCTCAGCTTTCATGGAGTTGCCTTTGCTCTTTGCTGTAATGAAAAA